ATAGTTTTGGTTTTCCTGTGACTTATTTGCAGTTTGATAAATGGCAGGAGCATAAATATACGCTCCCCATGTTTTTGTTATTCTGCATAAATGACGTTTTTTCCATGACTATAGGTAATATGGCGTCTTTGAGTTCCTATGACATCACAGCGACTAGTCGACGTGGACTTTTATCACGTTGAAGTGGACTTTAATAAAACACATGAAGTCGTGCAACCCCCAGGACAGAGTGAGATGGAGGATGACTCCCTGAAGAGGGAAAAGCCAAGCCAAAAGATTTTAATTTAAAAAAGAAGTTTCAGCTTCTTAGTTTCAACATCTGATTTGTTTCTGTTGCTTTGTGAATAAAATGTAGATTAGTGAGATTTAAAAATCAATGCATTCTTTTTATTGACACTTTTCACAAAGTCCCAGCGTTTTCAGATTCGTGGTTGTGTTTTAAACCAGTTTGAGCGTTCTTCATGAATCTGCTCAGCTTTTCTGGGGTTCTGCAGCAGAAAAAGTGAGGACGCACAGACTGGGACTGGGCCAAAGACACGAGCTTGAGTTCAGGGAGTATTTCCGAACGCTCGCCGTGTGCAGGTTTCTGCTCCGACGAGTTTATTTAGCTCATCGACTTTGCAATAAACCGTCCGGAGCAGATCATTTACACGAGACTTGTGAAAGTCTGGAGCAGCTTGTCGTGCGTCAGTTTTATCTGCTGCGTCTGGCCTTTAGGCCGAGGGCTTCTTGGACAATCTCCCTCCCCACACACACACACACACACACACACACACACCACAAAAAGCAATAACTGGAGAAAACTCTCCAAATCTAAGCTCCGCCCCTGATAAAATCCCCTTTGTCCTGGTTTGACGCCGGTAAGCTCCTTACCTTTCTGTCCCCTCCACGGGTGGAGAGATGACAGCTGCAATGTTCCACACACACATCTGGCTCAGAGGCATCCCTGCAACAAAAATATGGATTAACTTCAAAACGAAGTTAATCGATGCCTAAATGACCTTTCAGGCTCCAAACACATCGATGTCCAAGGATGATGGGATCAGTTGTTGAGGGAACAGAATCACGTGGTTTCCAAAATATACATTAAAAAAAATGCTTCATAAGCACTTATTTAAAAATAAACGCATAATGATTTAATTGTCGATACAATAATTTATTGTATAAATCAGAAAAAAATACCTTTGATTTATTTGTAGGAATATTCAACAGGAAAATTTCTAGAAAATATGAAAATAGCAAAGATAGTTCCTCTTTATACGAATGTGTTTTAACACAGTATCTTTCTAAATAACAAAACAGTATACATATATCTAGACATTTCATTAAGGTAATATATTATCTGATAAAATTATATTTCAATATAAAGTTAAGAAACCCTTTTTTAGGTGGATAATAATTGGTGCTGCCTCTTACTAGGCAGTCATCGATTACGCCACAACGCATCAGATGCTTGCGTACATCCTTCAGTCTGTAAAGTTGGCATGGTCTTGGTCAGAGTTACATAACCTGCTGCAGGGAAGCAGACGATCACCTTCCAGTTCTGAGAGCCAGATCCCTCCAGTCGGCCCAGTCAACTGTGAACCAAACCATCAGCTCGAATTCCCCGTTCGGTCTGTGCCTTTAATGTCGCATTTCCATGTTGGTTGAAAATCACTAAGTTGTGCCAGTGGATCCAGTGGTGTGTTAATCCAGATGTTGGCACAGCGGCTGGTCTGACACAGACCACAGCTGGCAGCGTTTGCCTGACAGGTCACATCAATTACACATGTGGCACTGAAAGAAACCCCTGAAACTTTTAATTATTTATTTAATTGTTTGTTTTTCCACTTTGAAATGACCTGAAGATGTTTTTGGGACTGCAATAAACAAATTTACAAGAAAATGTTGATTAAAAACCTCAGCCCAACTGCCAGACTACAGAGATCAAGAGAACCCAGTTGAACAAATGAGACAAAATATTGTACTTGGTCATTTATTTATTGAGGAAAATGATCCAGTATTACAAATTTGTGAGTAGTAAAAGTATGTGAACCTGTAGTATTATCAGTTCATTTGAAAGTGAAATTAGAGTCAGGTGTTTTCAATCAATGGATGATGATCAGGTGTGAGTGGGCACCTGTTTGATTTAAAGAACAGGATCTATCAAAGTCTGATCTTCACAACATGTTTGTGGAACAAAGGAGATTTCTGAGGAGCTCCGAAAAAGAGTTGTTGATGCTCATCAGGCTGGAGAAGGTTACAAAACATCTCTGAAGAGTTTGGACTCCACCAATCCACAGTCACACAGATGGTGTACACATGGAGGAACATCAAGAGCATTGTGACCCTCCCCAGGAGTGGTGGACCAACAAACATCACTCCAGGAACAAGGTGTGGAATAGTCGGTGAGGTCACAAAGGAGCCCAGGGTAACTTCTCTCTCACATTGATGTTCATGAGTCCACCATCAGGAGAACTCTGAACAACAATGGTTCATGGCCCGGTTGAAGGAGAAACCACTGCTCTCCAAGAAGAACATGGCTGCTCGTCTGCAGTTTGATAAAGATCACGTGGACGAGCCAGAAGACTGTTGGAGGAACGTTTTGTGGACGGAGGAGACCAAAATAGAACTTCTTGGTTTAAATGAAAAGTGTTCTGTTTGGAGAATGGACAACTGCATTTCTGCAGAAGAACCTTATCCCATCTGTGGAACACGGTGGCGGTGGTATCATGGTTTGGGCCTGTTCTGTTGCATCTGGGCCAGGACTTCTTGCCGTCATTGATGGAACAATGAATTCTGAATTATATCAGAGAATTCTAAAGGAAAATGTCAGAACATCTGTCCATGAACTGGATCTCCAGAGAAGGTGGGTCATGCAGCGACACAATGACCCTCAGCAGACAAGATGTTCTACCGAAGAATGGCTCAAGAAGAATAAAGTTCATGTTTTGGAACGGCCAAGTCAAAGTCCTGACCTTAATCCAATCCAGATGTTGTGGAAGGACCTGAAGCTGCAGTCAATGTGAGGAAACCACCAACATCCAGAGTTGAAGCTGTTCTGTTCGGAGGAATGGGATTCCTCCAAGGTGAGCAGGACTGATCAACAGTTACTGGAAATGTTTAGTTGTAGTTATTGCTGCATGGGGGGGGGAGTTCACATACTTTTGCCACTCACAAATATGTAATATTGGATCATTTTAATGATTTTCCTCAATAGATAAATAAATGACCAAGTTTAATATTGTTGTCTCTAGGCCTGTCGCGATAAACAATAAACCAATTAATCGCATAATAAATGAAAATTATCAAAAGCATTTTCATTTATCGGCTTTATCGTTTCTTCATGTCTCTCTCTGTCTACTGAAGACACTGGATGATAAAAGGCTCAACTCCGGTGCTCTTCACTGACCCCTCCCTTTCTCTTTAAAATCCATTTTAACGATCCAAAAATCACATTTTTGGATCGTTAAAAGCAGCTAAGCTGAGAAGCTAAGCTACGAGCTAAGCTAACAGGCCGACCTCAGGAAAAAAAACTCCCGTCTTGTTGAAGCTCCAAAATTCACGGTTGAAACCCGTTCCTTCATGTAAGAATTTTTCCTCTACAAAAAGAAGCTGAGAACTTGTTTACTAATTTTTATTAAAAGCTTTGTGTGACAAATGCTATGCTAAAGAGCTCAAACCACACCGAGCGGCCGCCATTTTGAGAACTGAAGCGAGACAGCCCATGTCATGTCAAAGGGCCTCCCTTCCATTTTTCTTAAAGAGACATGCTTCTCGTTCCCTCACTATCCATCCTACGGTTCAAACAATCTTATACTGCCATCCGGTGGTCAAAAAAGGTACTACATGCAAAACAAATTAAACATTTCTTCTTAAATTTAATAATATTACTATTTATTGTCAAATTTAAAAAAATATTATCGTTTATCGCAATAATTTCTGTAACGATTAATCACACCCAGCAAAATTTGTTATCGTGCCAGGCCTATTGTCTCATTCATTTCACTACTTTTAAGACGTGTTAAAATCTGATCATGTTTTAGGTCAAATTTATGCAGAAGTAGAGAATAAAGCTTCACAAACTTTTAAGCACCACTGTATGTTCACTCCCACAAAGTCTGGAACACGTGTGAACAAAAAGGCGTAGCACCCTTGAAAGGGCTGCACGTCACCTGCCACCTTTCATGTCAGAGGTTTAGACAAATATCTCAGGTCATCTTGCTACTTTGGGGATTTTCTAGGGTCAGGTATTTGAAGAGTTAAACATTTCACGGAGCTCCGCTACGAGGGGAAAAATCCTTTATAAACACTTTGACATTTAAAAACATCCGTTATGCACTGACACAATTCATACAGCATCACAACGTGGCTAAACATGGCCAGAAAGTCCCAAAGGGGGAGGGGCACATCAAATCCCTGCAACTAGAGTTAAGCTCATTTATTTGTAATTTTATCACCAGGAAACATTCACGAGGGCAAAAACAAATGAAATTTATTTTCAAGGAGGTAATCTTGTTGGTGACAGAAAAGTATAGCTGAATAATCCATGAAACGAGTTGAGCTATTAAATATTGACTGATTCTTGATGAGCAAAAACCACAAGATGGAAAAGGAAATCCCACGCGAGGCTCCCGTTGCAAACAACTGAAATAATAATCAAGGTCACTGCTTTGTGTGCACTTTTATTTATTAAATAATGCATCG